TATTATTTGCCAAAAGTTTGTTTATATTCAGAAGTCTGATATGATGAATAAATCTTAAATGCTTTGTTTAATTACAAAAACAAAATCACCTATATCCAAGACATGAAGATAGCAATTCAACAAATAATGTAGTTAAGAGATGAACTCACCACTTGTATGGGAACTACATTTCACTCTTGGTTTTCAGGATATAATAGCACTTCACCGAAATATTCTTTTAGCCATACCACTGGTAAACATTTCTACTAAACCTTTCTGTAACACTTAAAGAATTTCCTCATTCATTACCTTACAGTGTAAACAGGAGTCTAATTTGTATCAATTCTATGTTTTGGGTGTATATTCAGTTCACTCACCCAATGTACAACCAATGAAATAAAAGAAGCATTTAAAAGGATTTCTAATCTTCCTCCGTTTTGTGTTGAGACAGATGGATAATTAGCCAAACGAAGTGGTTTTGACATTCACAGAGATAACAATTGGTAACTTCAAAGGAGAGCAAGCTCTGGTCTTCACATGGGAGACTGATAGTTTTCGCTTTTGCTTTTGGCTTTTTACAAATAAGAAAAGCAACTTAAAAGGATCATTTTTTAAAATATATTTTATTGATTTTTTACAGAGAGGAAGGGAGAGAGAGAGATAGAAACATCGATGGGAGAGAAACATCGATCAGCTGCCTCCTGCACATCTCCCACTGGGGATGTGCCCGCAACCCAGGTACATGCCCTTGACCGGAATCGAACCTGGGACCTTTCAGTCCGCAGGCTGACGCTCTATCCACTGAGCCAAACCGGTTTCGGCAAAAGGATCATTTTAGAAGTATCTTTAGTATACTTTGAAATTAGAAGTAAAAATAAATCCTACCACTCAGCCCTCTTCTACAGGATTCTGCCTGAATATGAATGACGTGTGAACATCAATAACCAAATGGGGAACAAAATATCAGTTACAGACTCATAGATAGAGAGCAGGCTGACAGCTGTCAGGTTTGGGGGTAGGGGGTTGGGGTGTGTAGAGGGATTGAGCAAAAAAGAAAAAAAACTCATGGACACAGACAGCGATGTGGTGATTGCCTGGGGGAGGCGGGGGGCGGGGGGAGGGAGTGAAGAGAGGTGGAGGAGGGTGTGGGGGATAAACGGGGATGGACGGAGACTTGACTTGAGGTGGTGAACACACAATACAGTGTACAGACGATGTGTTGTAGAATTTGCACCTGAAATCTATATAATGTAATCAGTGTCGGTTCAATAAACTCAACAAAAAGGAAAAATATCTATCAGTTTCATTAACAGACAAGGAAGTGCCCAATAATCCAGATGACAGGCTTCCCACAAGAGCCTGATCAGACAACACGGCTTAGACCTGAGGCTGCAGAACGAGCCAGAATGGGGAGTCCTGTTCTGTGTAGACATCCTAGCCAGGTGGACCAAGGAGAGAACAAGAGCTGAGCATCGTACCTGAGGGAAGGTGTTCAACAAAGAGAATGCACCTTCTCAGACTTCTTCTTCCTCAGCCCCTTGGGGCCCTGGTATTTCTCAAGGAAGGTGGTATTAGTTTTGGGGTGGGAACGTGCCTTGTCATGCAAGGGTTGGCAGGACTTGCCTCCTGGGTCGGGGGAGAAGAAGGTTTTCTCCACGGCAGGGGTAAAGCTTCAGGCCTTGTGAGTGGTTTTGATATCCCTAAGGAGAGTAGAAAACACAAACATTCAACAGATCAGGCATATATAAATAAAGAAATAAAGGAACTTGTATTTTTAAACTATGTCATCACGATTTCCAAGGGTAAAAGTACTTTCCCACATTTGTGCATATTTGAAAAAACTGGCTATATGTTTAGGTGAGCAATTTTTTACTGTAATGCAGAAGAAAAGTTGCTATCCTATCAGTTGCTCCTCACAAGAAAACATTCTCTGTTAATAGTAAGTTGAAGCTGCCGACTGCAGAGACTAAGTTAAGTGAAAAACCTAAGACAAATAGTACTTAAAATTTTTCACACCTGATTTTAGGAAGTGCAGTTTTTATCTCTAGACTGACTTTTTATGGTGCTACCTCACAATCAAAAGCAAAACCATAACCTGCAAGAACAAAACTAGTTTATCTCTTCAGCATAGAAAATAGTTAAATATAAAATATCAATAGTTCTATAATTAGCTTCCAATAGAAAAGTGTTATTTCAATTTTGGGAGGCCCAAACTAAAACCGTTGTTGCAAATCCAGAAATATGCTCTTTACTATTAACCAAAGTTCTTTTGCAGCACCTAAAAAAAAATTTAGAAGCAGCCAGTAAACCAAAATGCAGTTTAATATTCTGACATTTGTGAGAGAAAAATACTGGCTTGCTCAAGAATGATTTCCTCTTCCCCGCCCCCCAAATATCCTAGTGTCTCTAAAATACTAGGCCATCATTGCTGTTGGGTTAGTTGTAACTCCACAGAAATAACTAGTCACTATGAATAAGTATGGTTCATACCAATTGAAACATAATAATGACTTCTCTCCATGCTCTCAGTGGGGGTGGAAGATGACTGGAATAAAGATGGAGTGGAATTGAGAATGTTCACCAGGGATCTACTTATGTGCCAAGCTCTATGCTGAATTGTCTAAATAGGTTTCTAATAGTCTATTCTGTCATTGAAGAGAACTACTCATAACTAATAGGCACATTCTAACTGCTACCCAGATTCTTACTCAAGGTACGTAAGAGATTCTGCTGTGAGAAGTAGCTTGATTCCAGATCAGCACTGCCTTTCAGTGTCTGCCCTTGGGATGCTGAACACCTCGAGAGACTTCAAGTGCATGACCAACGGCCATGTGGCCTCACTTCCTCCCTCTGGTTCAGCTACTTTGAAAAATGACAGCCTACCCACTTGAGGTGTCCCTTTACCCTGCCCCCATGTAAATGTCCTCTGTGCTACTGAGCCTATATTTTAACCGTACTATTTCAGACAACACCACCAAATTAGATGAAAACCATATAGCTATTTTCATGAAATAGTGTACAACCAGAAAGTAATTTTGTTTTGCTCACATACATTTTACATAATCGTTAACATTATGAAAGAGCTACTATACCCATGGTGTAAATGAGAAATCAAGGCTCATAAAATCAAGTAACTTTTCAAGATCACATAGAACAGCATAACTCTCGAGCCTTGGCTCATCTTAACTCTACAATCATGTCAATATGACCTTCATTTGTGGCATCCTTCAGGTCAAAAATTCATTTAAGAATTCAGAGTAAAGCATCTATCCAGAAAGCACTAAGATGAAGCTAGGATGAGAATCCTTTACTAGGTTACATGAATAGGTTTCCTTCCCTATTGCTAAAATATATATGATTGATGGAATATTTTGAAACTATGGGCTACAAAGTGCTTTTCTAGATTTGGGACAGAGCCTAATTCTTTATTAGGACCAGAGGCAACTGGCAAGCATGTTACATTGCACCATCTTTCCAGTGTTACAGAGGTCTTTTGTGGTGTTGTTTCTTTTAATCAAGCTTCTATAGGGTTCTATTGAAATAAAAAATAGCAAAAACCATTGCATTTCTCCCGATAAGGATATGTCATTAAGCCATGATGAAGCATCCCTGAAAAGATGTAACATATCACATATAGCAGAGAGATTAATTTCTGGATAAAGGTCACACATGGATCATGCCTCCCTAAAATCCAATTATGTCCAGAGTCTGAGAAGTTGGGTTCGTTGTTCTTTTTTCTAATAACTTTGCTATGGATCTTTCTGGGACTTTGCCTAATATAAACAAATGAAGAATTTTTTTGGTTTTGTTTTTTATCTGTCCTCATGTGTAAACTAAAATGATCTAAATTCAGGGACTCTACCTTTCTTTTACTAGAGAACCCTTCCTTCAAACAAAAGGTCATCCCACAAAAGCACACAAGCAAAACAGTAGCCAAGTGTTCTAGTGGCGGGGGACTCACCATTCTTGAGATGCACCTCTTGTTAGCTTTGCAGCCCAGAGATGGAAACCCCCTCACTCAAATATAAAACCTGTGGCTTCACAGAGGAAGAAAGCTATTTCAAAGTAGGACAACAGCTTAGGAAAACCTGGCTCGTAAGCTCTATGCCTCAGTAAATTGATTTGATAGACACAGAAGTAACAAATATACTACAGAATGAATAGATATTCAGCACTCACGTACATATGTATATGGAGAGTAACCTAAACACATTCTCATCCATAAACAAAAAGTTAAGGAGTTTTCAGTTCTGTGGAAAGGAAAGATCAGTGTTTGCATTTCACAATAGTCTAGCGGCCATACTGCCCAAGTGTGACTCTGAGCTCTGCTTTTCACAGCTTCGAAACTTCAATGTTTTTTTGTGCTTTTGTTGTTGTTATTGTTGTTACTCCTCAATCGAGGATATTTTTCCATTAATTTTTAGAGATAGTGGAAGGGAGGGG